ATATATATATATATATTTATGTGTGTATATATATATATTGTATATATATATATGGGGACATATATATATATATATATGTGTATGTATGTGTATAAATATATATATATATACAATATTCACATGTGTAACTACATATGCATGCGGTTTCTGGAGGATGTGTATTCAAGCATGAACAAGCCAAGTTGACAAGTCGGCCCACGAGTGAATGCACGACACATGCATGGGAAAGGCTTATGCGTAGAAAACGTTAGCTAACTGTTCCATGCATGAATGCCTGCAGGAGTGTTTCCTGGTGATGTAATGCAAACAACTCCATGAGCAACCATACTAAGGCATCACCCTATAGACACACCTAACCCATCCCCCGAATCAGTAAATTGAGTTATTCATCCAACATACAAAGGACTTCTCATAGCCAAGCAAGAAGCAGCTAGCTGACCCAAATCCACATCCCTCTGGTTCTTTGATCGGAAGCGGAGCCGGCGAAGGCACAAAGTCAATGACTTCAAGCCTTTGCCATCGGGCTTCCACTTCTTGTACTCAAAGGCATTGTCACCCTCACGAGTCTGCCAATACTTAGCGCAGTCGGCTAAGACAGCCCTGTGCAATGCAACCGACTTGTGTAGCTCTGGGTATTTCTTGACAAACCAGGCATACATGCCAAGAAGGTCATGGTTACACTTCAATGTTTTCTCATTGATGGCACCCTCCTTCACCGGGTAAGCGATGACCGACCCTGTCCTTGCCCTGGCCGTACAAGCGCCATGGGAGCGGATGTCCTGGCACTGCAGTGCTACCCCCACAAATGCATCCCCTCACCCCCCGTCCGCCCTCCAATTCTTTATATCTTCGCTACACACGAAAGCCAAAACAGTCCTTGATGAGACACCTGACATCAAAGACGGCCTCATCCCCTTTCCTTTTCAGCCAGGCTGGCACCACCGACAAAGGAGCATCTTTGTCTTTAGCCCCAGGCATGGCTGCTGGAGCTACTCAATCAATCTGCCAAACCGAAAAACCTGCCGGTGCATGCCCATGCATGCATGTCCCCTGCAGTGACTGCACAACCCTTTTGCCATTCAGAATGCATCTTCGGCCGGGCCCCGGACCGTCCTTCCACGCCAGGCTCAATGCCACGCGGCAACCACATGCAAGCACGGATATGTTCATCATTGCAACACAAGCTCTTCTAGAGGTGAATGCGATGACTGTTGTGCACAAAACGGTTGGATGAGCACATACTCCCATCCATGCAAGGCACATGTCTCATGAGATGCAGACAGCTGAATGACGGTCAGGATTCTAGGCTTTATGGGGCCTCTTTACACACTGAGCCTCCATGATAGTACATGTAGCATGCTTACAGATGCCGATTCATTGCAATCTGACGATGTTACCCATGACTCCTCGATATTTGGTTTTCTGTTGCTCTTTTGCCTGTGTATGTTTTTTTTTTGGTTTAACCAGTTTCCGGGCTGCCCTGAGTCAAAAGGGATGCCATTGGAGGCCCCAGGTAGGGCTCCGGCCACTGAATGATCACGACTTCGCATGCTGTGCATTCGGAGCTTTGGGCGGTAGAACTGAACCCTCAAACCTGTAAACCCTAAACCCCTGAACCCCCCCAGAGTGCTTAAGATAAGTGCTCAACCCCCTCCCTTTTTTCGGCCGAGGCACGTAATGCAGACCCCTTGGTCAAGGAGCTTCTTCAGGTTATGCTCCTTCATCCTGGGTAAGGGTTTAGGTTTTAGGGGTGGCCATCTTATGATAGAGGTCTGGGTTCTTGTCTTGGAATGTTGTTGAGGTGCCAGAACAAGGAAACCACTAGAGTCTACTATAGGCCCTTGTTATGGTAACTCAACTTAAGTTCCTCAGCAAGAGCCCAGAGCTGTTGGGGAACGAAACTCGGATGATTCGGGTGCCGCGCTTTGTCGCTGACCGAAAGGTCTTTAGGGTTTGGGTTTAGGGGGTCTTGCAACTTCGACGCTGAGGGTTTCGTAAACCCTAAACCCTAAACCCCAAACGCCAAAACCCTAAACCCTAAGGTTTAGGGGGTCTTGCAACTTCGAGGCTAAGGGTTTCGGAGTTTCGGATGCACTTCTTGCGGCCAGCAGCGTTTTGAAGACGCACAGCAGGACGTTCGACAGCGGGCAAACTGTAAGAGGCATTTTCTCCTGAGAGCTGAGACGGGATGGGCTTTCGTTGCTTTTGAACGCCTTTTTTCCATCTGCCAATCCAGCATCCATAGCTCCTACTTCAGAAGAGATGTGTAATATAGGAGCCTTAATAATTACAATAGGATTTTGGGGCCCGTATTCTCGAATTATACTAAGCAGTCCCCCCAAAATAGTATAGGTAAAAATTTAGGCCCCTATAGTGCGGCCACTCGAAGCATTCTCACTTGTCAGCCTGGTTGTTCCCTTCGTGTGAATCCGTAACCCTCGGCTCTTGACCAATCCTGCGACCGTCCCCGTCCTCCTCTGCCCTCGAACTCGACGACCCCAAAGGAGCGCTCCAGAATCCATGAGGATGTCAGGTTTAGGGCTAAGGGAGGGTTTAGGGTTTAGGGTTTAGGGAGGGTTTAGGGCTGTGGGGTTTAGGGTTCAGGGAGGCTTTCGGGTTTAGGGTTAAGGGAGGCTTCATGGCTTAGGGTGTAGGGTTAAGGGAGTCAGGAGAGCCTGTGGGACTACACATCTTCATCACGAGCTTTTGCATCCTAGTCTAAAGCAGGGGGGCTCATGATTCTGTAAGTCTTGTTCCTAGACTCCAACCCCAGAACCTGAACCCTAAATCCTAAGCCCTAAACCTGAACCCTAAATCCTAAACCCAAACCTCCTAAGCACGAAGCCCAACACCCAAAATCCTAGGCCCACATCCGAAAGCCAAACCTTCAACTTTCCCTGCCCCTGAAACAAAACCCCCGAATCCTAAACCCCAAACCCTAAACCCCCATAACCCAAACCCAAACATCCTAAACTCCTACACTCCAAACCCAAAACCCCCATAAACCCAAACTCAGAAATCCTAAACTCCTAAACCCCCAACCCTAAAGCTCCATAAACCCAAACCCAGACATCCTAAACTCCTAGTATAGGGGCCTCAATACATAGAATAGGGTTTTGGGGTATATTGTACTACAATTATAATAAAGAACCCCCCAAAATAGTACTGGTACTAGACTCCTCAACCCACACCTTCAACCTTCGCACCTGAACCTCAGGCTTCCAGAGCTTAGGGATTCTAGGGGTTTAGGGTTTAGGGGTTTAGGAGGTCCAAAATCTCGGAGCAAGCCCAAGAGCCATGTTTAGTGTTTAGGGTTTTAGGGTTTTAGGGTTTTAGGGTTTAGGGTTTAGGGTTTAGGGGTTTGGGGGTTTGGGGGTTTGGGGGTTTGGGGGTTTGGGGGTTCAACCTTCCCCGTCCTTTATCAATCGCTTGACCAGCTCGGGATCCTCGGCGCAGCGCACGCCGTGGTCCACTCGCTTCACCTCCGACACTTTAAGGGCTTCTTCAAGGGCTCCTTCAAGCGTTCCTTGTTAGTTCCTTTTTAAGGGTTCCTTCAAAACGTACGCGTTCTAGGGTTACTGTGACGATTACTAGTCAGAAGGGCTACTATAGAGGTTCCTTGAAGGGTTATAACAGGGTTGCTGTAACGGTTACTAGAAAGGCTACCATGAAGGTTTCTGAAAGGGCTGCTGCAGGGGTGAAAACTGTCAGGGCTACTATGGGTTTAGAGCTCTAGGGGTTTTGGGGGTTTGGTCTGTCAGGGTGCAGGATTCCAGGCTGGGTTGTTGAGGGTTTTCTTGGAAGTCGGTAATGTACGAGCCGTAGTAGTTAGAACGAGTTCTTAGGGGCTGCTTACAGTAGTAGTAATGACAACAAGCGTCGTATGTGTTCGTTATTGCGTATTGACATATTTCAATGCCGCAAAACACTACTATCGCTGTTAAGGCTGAGGTTAAATTGCAAGTTCATGGGTTTGGACGGAGGTGTGCATCCTTGCACGCCCGACAAAGTCCTGGCTCCTGGCGCCCTATATGTATAACATACATCAAGGGACTTAATTAGTCGGTGGAGCTATAAGTACGATCTCTTCGGTCATCAGTACGTAAGTATAGCTATAGTTACCTTATATAGAGCCACACCCACCCAAAGTCCACAACCCTAAAATCCTTGGAAGACCCTTGTCAAACCCTGACAAACCCCCAGAGATCTCTTTACAATCCTCTTTACACCTGTACAAAGCTGTGCATGCTAAACCGGACACTCCAAGTAAGCCCAAAACCCTTAAACCCCCTCTGTCTTAAGAAGGGTAGCTAGAGTTGTAAGGATTCATAAACCCAGCTAAAAAGTAAGATAGGGGGCTCAATGAATAGGATGCTTTTTTTTTTTTTTTTTTTGGG